CCATTAATATTTAATTCCAGATTTACTACAAAGTTGAAAAACGAAAAGAAATGCTTGAATTTTACATACTGTGCTTCCCCTCTTGGCTACTCCTAGGAAACTACATACAGAGTTTATTAATTAGAATCAACTCAATGATACCTAACAACAATATTATTAATCCTTTAAGGGGCCTTGGTACAAAAGATTATGCATTGGTCTGTTAGCCTCATGGTCAGTAGTTCAAATTCATCATCTACTCTTTTAGAGAAAGCTGTGGCCATCTCGGAAACCCTACAGTGCAGTTCTACTCTGTCATGCAGGGTTTCTATGAGTTGGAATCAACTCAATGGCAATGGGTTTTGATATTTTTTAATCAATCCCCTAGGTTGACTGCTATTGGAGTAAGGACAGAGTGCTATTTCCCACACCTTCAATTTCCATCAGTAGAAATTTCCCCTGTAAACACTACTGGCCACTTGTTCTTCTATGCCTCTTTCAAATAGAATACTCAATTACTGAACTGAGGAGAAAAATTAGATTCTGGTTTGTCTTTTCCTTCATCTTAAGCCTCCTTTCCTACCAAGAGTAATACACACTGTGCTTTGTTCCATCATGGAGCAAGCCCTGGTTTTCCAGGGTTGGATAAGTCTGCCCACTTCTGAGGTGCTGTGCTACAGAGCCCACTAACATTCATTGAGCATTTCTATGTGCCATTCATTACTGGGCACATATTTCACGTATGAACTAAATTAATCTGGATAACAACTCTATAAGGCATAATTTTCATTTTATTTATTTTCAAATCATACACCTTGTTTCATTACAATGATAATAATCCCCTCTATGTACCATCAGTTAACAGTATTTCTCTGTATTCACTTTGACACATAACCGTAACCCTCACAGTGAGAGTAGTATTGGCTGTGATGTCAACTTGGCTGGGCCATGATTCTCAGAGGTCTGGCAGTTGTGTACTAATTTGAAAGGTATGTAATGCTGTCATTTGAAGTTGTGTCATGATGCAGACATCCTCCATTTCTGCATAACGTCCATTTTTGCATAGTGACCTATCTTAAGAACCTAACCATGTTGATATATGTGGTGGTGGTGGTAAAAATTGAGAACAGAAATTAGGAAGGACAGTGAAAACACTCTGGAAGCAAAAAAAAAAAAAATATTTAAGGCTGATATCCATCCAGCAAAAGTGTTGACCAACTGAGGAGAAACATTCATGTCTTTTAATGGAAGCATAAATTTATATGATCTTGTTGAAGTGCAACTTACCAATATCTGTAAAATTTTTAATGTTTTTATCATTTAACTTAATATCTACTTATATCTCTGTCATAGGATATAATGAAAACAAATCAAGAATGTTCAGTTGTGGAGAACAAACAAGATGGCGGATCGGGTGGACGAATAGCAGAGCGCTCCGCCAACAACAACACAGAATACCCAACAAAGCAGGCTCAGGGGATGATCCCAGAACTCTGAACCACATATAAAGGAATACTTAGAAGGTTGGAAGGCTCACAGCTGGGGGAATTTGTGACAGAAGCACAAAATCTATTGCTTTCTAGTCCGGGACGCTCGGCTGCTCCAGGAGCCGCCATCGTGGGTGAGACCACGTAGGGGAAGGATCGGAGCGGCCACAGACGCCTGGCAGAACCACAGAGATAAAGGTGTGGACAGTCTTCTCTTTTGGTAGCTGTTCATTGGTCCCTTGCTGTCTGCGCACCTCTATTCTGGTGACTATAGGGGTGCCTGAGCTAGTGGGCACCC